TTATCCTAAAGGTCCTGTTTAGTGTAACTGTTAGAACAGATTATAAATTATAGCTTAACAGATTATAAATTATGACTTTAACCAGAAGTTGTTAATCTATTTAGTATAGCTGTTGGATTATAGATTTAAATTACTAAGTAGTGTTTGTTAAATAAGCTATGAAGTAGCTTTTTCAATTAACTTTTATTTTTTATTATTCACTATTTGTCTATATTTCTCATAAAAAATAATAATAATATTCTATAGTTCATTTGGGTCTTTTTCTATTTTTAAAAAAATAAAAAATAAATAAATCTAGCAGTATAACCGTGAATCAAAAGCTGATAATCAGAAGTAAAGGGTGAGCAGCTTCTCAGAATCAGCTCTTTTGATTTAAAATAAGTTGTTAGAATCAGAAGCTATTTGAAATAAGTTTAACCAAGCAGTCCAAATAACTTTTTAAAAGTTAGAAACCATAAGTTGACTTAAAAAAATCCCACCAAACACCCCAAAATGGAGGACTTCATTATCATCAACAAAGATATGAACTTTTTAAATTGGACTTAAAAATGACAGTTGGGCCAATATATCTTATAACCCGATCCAGAGACTCGAGTGTTACCACAAAGCTTGAGAATATTGCAACTCCAACCCCAAACTCAAGCTTTAAGTCGGTTTTAGAATTGATTATTGTAGTTTTTTTTTTAATTAATTTTTTTTTTATAAAAAAATGTGTAAAATAATAAAAAGAATGATATGATAAATTATAATGAGTTTTTAGCTAAAATTCTTAATTTCCAAACGAGGCCTTAGGCTGTTTTAAGATAACTTAAATAAGTGATTTTTTTTTGGAACATTTTTTTTAGTGAATTTTTTTTTTGTTTTGTAAAATTATGAAAATTTATTTTATTTTATTTTTCTAGTCTATCTTGTGTAAACAATTGTCAAAAGAATTTTTTTTTTCAAAAAATTCAAAAATAAAAAAAACCAATATAAATAAAATTAAAAAAAGTCTATTATTTTTTACTTATATTTTTTTCTGAATTGATTTTTATAATTTTTTTTAATTTTTTAGTTCGCCTCGTCGACTAGAATTTTGAACTTTTTAAATTTTTTTAAAAAAATTCATCAAAGAAAAAAATAAGCTAACAAAGTAATTTTCATTCATCTCATCAAGTAAAATCCTAAAATTTACATTTTTTTTTTAAAAACAAAAAGACACGAAAAAAAAATAAAAAATTAATCATGATTGATCAAATATTTTTACACTCAAAATTGAATCGATCAAATTGAATCAATCCAATTGATGGCAGTTGCACAACTTAGGATGAGTATTCAATTGAATACCCTAGTTTTTTTTTTCTTTGTTTATAGATAGATAATTTATATGTTAATCAATTTTTTTTTGATATATATTAATCAGTTTATTTCTTATAATTTAAAATATTCATAAATTTTGAATACTCATCTCTCAAAATTTGAACACCCAACTCCTTTATTTATTTATTTTATTGTTAGTATTATTTACAATAGGATGTTAAGGTAAGTTATATTACAACAAAAGGGTTACAATCGCTCTGTCGACTCAAATTCTAAATCTCTGACTTTCTTATCGTCCCAAGAAACAACTACATAGACTATTGGGTCAACTGTCCTGCCCAATTTGAATACCCAACTTACTCAGTTCGTAAAAATAAGTGAATCAATTGATAATAAATAATTATATAGTAAATAAGTTTTTGAACATTTTAATATAACAAAAATATAGAAGAAGTATTGTTTTAATATTTAATATTATTTACAAAATATTGTTTTGAGACTATGGCTAAGAGTGGAGAAATCGCTACAGTGGCACTGCGGTTCAACTTGTAGTATAGCCTTTTTTTTTTTCTTTTTTTTTCAAAATAAAAAATTACATGAAATGATCAGGTATCGATCTCCTCTTCCTCTAAATGTGAATTTTGTGTGAGGTTTCAGAAGTTTTTTTTACCAATAAATGGATGATATTTAACATTCCAAGATAAGAAACTGGTTTCTTAAATTTTGAATTCCTATTTCTCTTTTAAAATGGCATATATGGGAAGAAGGGAATTCAATGACATGGTTTTTGTTGGAACTTTTGAGTTTTTTGTTGGAACCGAATAAATCAAAACTTATGGTATGAATCATGGATAAGGACCCAATAGTATAAACCCAATCAAGCCTTAAGTCCCACATAAATCCTTTTTTTCCATTTGACTCTATTCAAGGTCATGTCGTTAGTTAAATTGAAGAGATTCATATCTCTATTTACTACACCAGCCCACGTCAATTTAGGTTTGTCCCTTCCCCTAACACTTCCATCCTATCACTACTGTTTTTGTTAGTTTCCGTTGCATATGACTAAACCATCTCAATCTACTTTATCAACGAGCATTTGGTTAGTTTAATTGAAGAGATTATGTCTCTATTTACTATACCAGCCCATGTCAATCTAGGTCTGCCTTTTCCCCTAACACTTCTATCTACCGTCACTGTATCACTACTGTTTTTGTTAGTTTCGTTATATATGACTAAACCATCTCAATCCATTCTCTCTCAACTTATTTTCTATCTGTACTATTCTTACCATTCACGAATATACTCATTTCTAACTTTGTATTTTCTAATTTTGCCACACATTCTTATCTCAGTAACACTCATCTTATCTATATGTTATTTCTTAATTGCTCAATATTCTGTCACATATAACATCACTGGTCCAATAGCCATTTTATAGAACTTTCCCTTTTAGTCTATTAGGTCCTCTTTTTATTTTTAAATTTCTACTAAAATTCATGAACCAAATACAATTTTAAACTCATAAATCTAAAAGGTATCCTACCCAAACGACAATGCATGATATGGGCCCTGTTTGGTAGAGCTGTGGGAAAGTACTTATAGCTTATGTCTCAACAACTTATAGCTTATAACTTTCAGCTTAAGCTGATTTCCAGCTTATTCTTAAAGCATCTCCTGCCCCACTCAAAGAATAAGCTGATTTCTCACTTCCAAAAAGCTATAAGCTATAAGCTATAAGCTATAAGCTAAACTAAACACATCAAAATAGCTTAAATTAAGCTGAAAGCTGAAATAAGCTGTAATTAAGCTCTGCCAAATAGGCACATGATATGATATGATAGATTTTTATGCATCTCGAAAAGTTTGTCTTGTTTTTGAATCATTACTACTAAACTTTGAGCGTTCAACCTTCAAATCTTCATTAACACATTCTCTAAATTTACTCTGTGGTAGGGGGTTTGAGTTTTAGGTGACTGATTTATTAACCAATCAACAATTGATGCGTATGAGTTCATGTTATTGGAGGATAAATTCAGGTGAGATTTAAAGATGTTAAGTTTTTTATTTTTTACAAAACAAAAATGCAAAAGTTCAAACTCTAGTTTGTTTGGATACATAACTTCGGTGAGAAAAGGAAACAAATGACGAAAAAGAAAACTCTATCACTTGGTTGGATGGTTACCATCCAAATATGATCGTAAAAAAAAAAACACAATCATTTCTTTCTTTTCTCACCTGGACGCTAGATCATAAATGCATTTAAAATTTGTGAGACACATCTCACAAAGTGGCATGCAGAGCATGTCTCACAAAATGAGTATGAAGCAGTGTTTGGGAGACATGGCCTTTGATGAAATCAAAAAGTTTATACTTGGCCTTTGATGAAATCAAAAAATTTAAACACGAATAACAAATTATAACTTTGTTACTACAACTTAATCACATGAGAAATCATTTGAGAAAAAAATAGTTAAGCAATTTGTATGTTTGTTACATCTCAGATGGAGGTTGAACTTAATCGAATTAATCATTGGTTTCTTGCAATTTCTCTCTCTTATTTGAGCATCTTTTATTACAAACTAGTAAATCTTATTTCTCTCAATCTCATTTTTCTTTTTCGAACCAAAAAGACATGCACCAATCCTCATTATTTGTTGGATAGCTTTGCTCGTATATTTATTTTGTACTGAAAACTTTAAAATCTCCGGTTGTACAATTTTATTTATTTTTTAATAATAATATTCATAATTTTCAATTCTCTTTTTAGATATTTCAAACAATATCTATGTTAATATATGATAATAGAAGGAAAAAAATAAGATAGCTGTAACTGTATTCACATACCAACTTAAATTTGTGTAGATGGTAAAACTCTTCTTATTTTTATTTTTTAAATATAATTTTGTAACCCATTGACCTATGAAATGGTATCCAACATCTTTAATAAATAGATATAAATGAGATTAATAACTGCTGGAACATTACTTTGGGGGAAAGAAAGGCCTGTTTGGTGGAGTTTTTTAAGTTAAAAATTGATAATCAGAAAACAGAAACCAAAAACATCCCCACCCCAGCTTTCAGATAATTAGCTTTTTTTTAACTTATTTAAGCTATTTCAGCCTAATAAGTTATAAACAAAAATTACACATAACAGTTTAGGACAGACTCCCAAATCAAAATAAATTATAATCACCCTCAAAAGCTATAACAAACAGTCCCAAAGTTTGGTGTCACTCCTCTCCAGTAAGAAGAGTGATCTCAACACCACCACCACCATGACCGCCACCACCAGCAGCTGCAATCTGAACCCCAAGGCTTTGAGGTGTACAAAAGTTGTGATCCCCCAACAAAGTGACAGACACTCTCCTCTTTATCAACCCAACCTAACCCAACAATTGAGAGGATTCATTACCTTCATCTGTTCAAACCCCCCCATCGAATACACTCATTCTCACTCAACAATCAAATAAAACCTTAGTTACAAGTACAATGCCAATACCGCTCAACAACAGCTCCGCAAGGAATATTCATAAAATTAGACACTTTCAAATTAAAAAATGAGAACATACGTATATATATTTGTCTACTTTCAAATTAAAAAATAAAGAGAAGATAATTGTATCTGTGCACTTTCAGAGAAAGAGAAAGAGCAAGATGAATATCATTGGTAGGGAAAGAACCAAGTGTTTGACATTAAAGGTATAGTGATGATAAGGTGAAGAGATTGTAAGAATAAACTTGTAACAAAAGGCAAACTAGCATGAAGGGGTGGTTTTCTCTATAAATATTTTCCATTGCTGGTGGTTTCTGATTTTTGCATAAAAAGCTAATGGGGAGAGAGCAGGGGTGCAGATGTCTTCCGGGCAAATAATTCGCATGTAATTATGTCATCAGTAGATGTTGCAGACCTCCCAGCCCCTGAGACAGGAACAAGGTTGAAAATTGGTTCCTCCTCCTCACTTATCTGAATTCTCTGAAACATTTCAACAAATTCATTGAATGCAGCCGTGAAAATCAGCGACAATGATTCATGAGACACTTGTAGACTTGTTGGGTAATAGAGCCTCAAATTCTACAAGAAGAGAGCGAGAGAGAGGGAAAAAAAATTAGAGATTAACATATTATATAAGCAAGTAAATGGCAAGACAAATAGTTGAGAAAAAAGTTCAATAAAAAAGTAAGCATGAAATATAAAGCTGGACCAGGGTTGAGAGATTTAATAATAACATCTTGAGCATCACACTATCATTGACTACTTGTTGAGGAGATATCCATTGTTGAACAGAATACCAGAGTCTAGAGCTGCACATGGGCGGATCGGTTTGGGTCATCAACATTCAGGCTGGAAAAATATTAACCGATTTCGACTCAAACCCCCCTTTGAAACCATCCACTCATATTATTCGGTTTCCCGGTCGGGGTATCAGTTTGACATCGGATTGAAACTTAACTCAAAAGTGGCTGCGAATCTCAGATCGACTGTTTAACTTTCACGGCCTTTCATCATAGGTCTATCAATTTGGTAAACAAAATCTTAGAAAATTTTAAAAATCCAGTAATATAATATTTTACTTAGGGTTTTGGTTGAACTTTAATAGGATGTCTGTGAGGGGCTGCTCAAAGCCTCAAGTATTAGATCTAGTCACCAAAGATTTGAGCAATCTCTGGCAGCAAAGCTTCACCATTTCTCCGCTTTTTATTTGCCTTTTCAATTTGCAAAGAAACAGATGGGGGCATAGGGTTTGTAAAGTGTGAAGATGAACTAGTAAACCTAAAACCAGAACTGGAGCCTACTGGTAATGGGCTAGGGATTGAGAATCGCTTAGTGGAGAGGGAGTAGTGATCTAACCAATATGTGAGACAGTGTAATCTGGGGGTCGAATGGAAGCATGACACATGTAAAGATACATATAATTTAGTATAATACTTGGTCGGTTCAGGTTGTTTGGTTGTGTGTTGTCAATCTGAACTCCAACTGATAATCCAAATTAGTAAACTATTTATTTGGAACTGCAACCAACCGCTGCATTGTGCGAAACCATCCATTATGATGTTTAGTGCGCCAGGTTCGGTCGAGTTCACCGGGTGATCGGTTCTATGCACAGCCCTACCAGAAACCAAAGCAATGAGCTGACAACTGAGAAATACCAATCGTCCCAAGTCGTCCAAAAGACATTAAACAAATAATAAATAAATAAAATCTAATTCCATGTATTTATTTCAAGATGCCTTTTTCTCTTGGTAAATGCCACACTTCATCCACATTAAGCTTTTGTTCCCTAGCTGTCTCTTTTCCATTTCTTTTTCTATTACACAAAATGCTTAATTCATTATTAAAACCGAAAGTTATGAAAACAAAAAAGAGGGGAAAAATGAAGTACAAATGACATCTCATCAAAAAGAGAAGGCTTCAGAAGGCATCCAAAAAAAAAATCTAATCATGTAAGGGCCTAGTATCAATCATGCTAAGTACTGGACAAGTTGAGGCTGCCCCACATGACTACAGAACACAACCTGGGAGCCAGCCAAATCAGATTATCTTTTTTGGCAGACATTCTCAACAATCTTATAACTCAACTGGGCCAATTGCAAATTACAGGTTTGATACTCAAAAAATCGCATATTCTTCTAAGATAATTTGGAGAAAAATGTCGGGTTATTTTGCCACTTTTGCGTAGGTGATGAATACAAGAATTGAAGAGAGAAACCACATAAAGAACCAAGTGTTTGACATTAAAGGTATAGAAATGTTCAAATGACGAGGCTAACAAACTCGACAGGCATTATCATTAATCTTGCTTAAAACTTCACAAGGACCCACTTTCCAATCATCTATGTTACATGAACTCCTCTATGTCCCCAAAAGTATCATGTCCATTGGACATGACAAGGATATAAGGGTGTGGAATATGTGTCTGACACCCATACCCAATTTAGACACTTGGATCCTCCAACTTTTTACAATATTTGAAGAATAAGAATTTCACATTTGCTAGAAAAGAAACATTTATAACTTCTAACATAGATGAGAGAAAATTTCCATATTTTTTTTCCTAAATTTTCTTCAATTTCAAATACATTTCTATATACTTTACAACATTTTATGTAAGTATATTATATAATAGGTAATATATATGTGTCCATAAAGAGTCTCCATACCCATATCCTACTTTGGAGACATATTCCAATATCTTAAGATCTAAGTTTATGAAGGTATGATGCTTAGACACCCGCCCGTATCCAATCATACCCGAGTCCATGTAACATAGCTAATCGTTCAACTTCATATAAGAACCATGGGGCTGCCTTTCCTTGGTCAAAACTAAGATCTCCCTAATCGTTCAACTTCATAAAAGAACCATGGGGCTGCCTTTCCCTGGTCAAAACTACTCAAACAAAATCTCGCTCTTTGAAGACAACCTTCCATTTGTATAAGTCAGTTGCAGCTTTGTGCTTTTTGATTGGCACCGGAGCGTCCAAATCAAAGCCCAACTAATCCCCAGGGATGCATAGGCCCTCGGCAAAGAGTTTCCCGGAAGTGCACCACGGTTAATTCAAAGGTTATTCCCACAGTCCAATGGCCCCAAGGAATCGTTAACACTTGAGAGCTTTCAATCCCTGAACATTGGAGGGAGTAGACCCCCAAGACCCAAGGCCTTGCCACCAGGCCAACCCCTTGGGGATAGTTGCAACTTTGTACTTAGCATTGGATTACTCAATTTGGCATCAAAAGAGCCTCACACCATAGTGACTTGCCCTTATGTACCCCCTTTACCTTTGCTTTTGAAGCTCTTCCCTCTCTTTTGGAGACATCCGATAGACCAGTTTGCTTGGCAGCGCCAAACCAAGCACCAAATCAATAAAATGTTAGGTATCCTATATAGGAGGCAATTTGGGAGGAAGCAATTTTGGAATCACATCAGAGTATTGACCTAGAAGAGAGCTAACTACGGTATCTTCCTCAATGGCAACTGTATGTAATACCAGGACCAACACCAAAATAACCACAGATCTCTACTCTTTTCCAAAAACCCTTAATGTTGGAAGACAACTTCGGTGTATCCTTTTCCTTCATGGAAATCAATGTAAAATGCCTTTCATCCTTTGAGAACGGTATAGGTGTTACACTTGCCATCATGCAAGGTTGTCAATCATATTGTCATAGATGCTAATTACGACATAACAAGCATCCATAAGCACCTCATCAAAGTACTTTCAAATGAAAAAAGATATCAAATATTGCTTAGTAATTTTGATCTCATTACCTTTCCTGAACCAAGAGGGAATCAGTATGAGGATGATCTTCAACTTGCTAACTTTGCTAACCACTTCTTCAGAACTACATCCTTGCAACTGGTAGGTAAAGAAGATGTTGGTAGGTAACCAATGTTGCAAATGGTAAAGAAGATGTTGGTAGGTAACCAATCATCTCTACTTTCTTGTTTGGGTGTAAAAAGAGCCTCCTTGACCATGAGAGTAGGTCAATCCTCTTCCTCAACATCCCCTCAAGTCATTCCTCATTCGTCTTCCTCTTCCTTAACTCTTCTGTAACTTCAATAACAAGAGCTTTGCTCTGATTGTAGCCCAAAGCCTTACGACAATCTAAAGACCTATGACCCTGTTCTTCACGCTTAAAGCACTTACAATAAAACCACGACTTTCGGGCTGACTTTGGCTTCTGCAAGCACCACTAGTACGTTAAGTTTGCACCGGGGCACAACCCTATCCATATCTTTGTTGAAAGACTAGCCTTGGCAAAGCTAGGAGTGGATTGGCCCAGCCTAAAACCACCTACGAAAACTCCTTGAGAGTGCAATCTTGTCCTATATAAACACCTCGGCTATGTTGCTTCTCAACTGCCAAAGCCCTATTGTAACCTCAGAGACAAACAATAAAGTGTGTAAGACAAGTATGTCTTGACATCAACTTGAGCAATAAGCTGATAGAATGCTTCCGTATACTCGTCAAAACTCCCACATTGCTTGAGGTTATGTAAGTTCCTGTACAAGGTTTGCAAGTAGTTGAAAGGTAAGATTAGCTCCTTAAGTATCTTCTTCATCTTCTCCCAACCACAGATCTTGACCTTGCCTCAATGTTGCCTACACACTTGCAATTGCAACCACCAAGTGGAAGCTCTCGCTTGAGACGAATCGCCATTAATTTCACCTTTTTCTCTTCAAAAACATCACAATTCAAACATCTGCTCAATGGTGTTTAACTAATCAATGAATTATCTGGATTGAGACTTCCATGAAGTTGGGAAGCCGATGTTGTTCTCCCACTTGGACTAAAACATTCCGGATTTGCTCGACGGCCTTGCGGTGTACCAAAATGATCTCAAAAGAAGGTTGAATATCCTTGGAATCATCACTACCATTGGTTGGAGCTTGCAAACGTTGCACCATCTCCGTCAGTGCAGCAATTTTCCTCCTCAACTCATCAATCTCATCTTTTTTTTCTTTTTTTCTGGATTCCCATTGTTCTGTCCAACCAAGGGCAGGAATTTGCGACACGACAAGATAACACAACTTGAACCGTAAACGAAGTTAGCGGGTTAGCATTAACCATTTCCTGACATGAACACGTAAATGACACGGTCCGATCAAACGAATATTAAACAGGTCGGGTTAGTGTCAAATCTGTATAACACGAAAATGACACGGATAACACATATAATAAAGACTTAGTTACACATTTTAAATTATTTCCACTAAAGAGTATCATGACATTTTTTAATCTCTTACATAATTACATTTAATTTATTAAAAAGTATGTAAAATATGATTTTAAGTTTAATATAGGTTTTGTTTTTGCTTTTAATGAACTTAATGTTTTTTTTTTTGTCTATTATTTGAGTTAATTTAGTAAAAAAATATAATATTTATAAATCAAGAAAATTAAATTAAGTTGAAATCAAATATTTTTATAAATCATTTCATTTAATAGAGGTCAATTTTATTAAATTTAACTTGTGAAAAAATTTTCAAGTTTTTTTCATACATTTGATATTTTTGCTTAATAGTGAAATTTTTTGACATCACACGTTAACAAGACACAAACTGGACAAAAAATGACACGACACGGCGCCTACCGCTACCTCCAACCCCATAATTCATCTCAACTTCTTCACATCTAATGCTCAAACATGCCACCAATCACAACTTTAAGCTATACAACATGAATACATGCATATTAAATCTACAAATCTAACTCCAACATGATGGACCACAATAATATGAAAGAAAAACAAAGAAAATACACAACATGTAGAAATGCGAAGAGAATCCCAACCTCAACCAAAGAGAGGAGATGGGAGGAAACCCTAGACGCGAAACCTGAAACGAAAATTTGGAATAGTAGAATTGTAGCCCTCGGTGTGTTCTACAACTGTAAGCCTTGGACCAAAGATCAAGTTTCATTCTAGCTAGGTCAAACTCAAGCTCAAACTATTCAATGATGGTGGAGAGAGAGAGAAAGGAGATAGAAGAGAGAAGAGAGTTATAGAGACAGAGAATGAAAGAAATTGTGAATTTCTGATGATATTTCGTGCTTCAACACCAAAAAATGAAGAAAAACATGTGGAGAGCCTGCCATGTCACCCCAACAAAAGTTGTCTCAGCCTGGCCATTCGTGCTGAAATACTAGCCACATGTGCGGAACAACTCCAGAAAAGACTGCCCTATATTCACTCGTGTGGACCTCTCTTGCCGCATATGCAGAACCCACACGTCATATGCAGAATTCATGGCCGCACGTGCAGACCTGCTGCAGCAAGATACCCAGCCTTCTGACCAATTCTGCTCGTGCAGGACCTCCCCATTGCACATGAAGAGCTCCTGAGAAAACTCAAAACTTCCAGATTTTTGTTCTGAGTCCCAATTCCACACTCCCGACTACAATAATGAGATGCAAAACAACAACAATAAGATAAATGAGGTTCAATGAAATCCTTCCAACCTCAGGCACAACTGACTCCACAAGTCATGACAACAAAGATTTGGAACCAAATAACCTCAAATCGGGTAACATTCATTTAAAATAGGGTTTGAAAACCCAGAGCATTACAGTTCACAATCATATAATCCATTCAAGCAATTAGATGTAATTTCAGGTTGACAGATGAACCAAAAGGTTCGCAGACCGTTTGCCTGGTATTTGCATCTAAATGAAAATCCAAATGCATTTGTAGACTCAAAACACAAACGCTAGAATTTATTAGCAGATGCAAAGACTTGGATTGATGAAGCCTTCTTACATTATCAAAAAAAAAAAATATTAGAACTTGGTTCTACTCAAACTATAGGCAAACTACGAAACTTTTGAAAAATGTGATTAGCCCTAGCATGAAAAAGAAACCCTAGTGGAGTAGCATTGGCGTCTTACCTATAAACTATGTAAAACATAAATGTAATCTTGAAACAAATACCGAACAGAAGTCCAGTTTATCATGAATTAACTTAAAATGAAGGTCGCTCCTAGATAGAAAGAAACTAACCGTTACATCATTCCAAGAGAAGTGGTTCTCTGAAAGGAATCCATCAATAAGAAAAATGCAAAACCTTGCTAATCTGTCCATTTGTCTCTCTGTGCGGTAAATTGGACAAACTTCCTGATTTTCACCTGCACACTCAGAACAGATTTTCGCAGCAAGTTCATCCGTAATAGATAGGACGGCTGCACATATTTTTCCATGAATAATACATTTCTGGAAGCAAGAATCATGCCAGTCTTCATGACCAAAACCCCAATAACTTTGTGCTGTTTCAATAGATAGATCTTGGGTAACAAAATCAGTCTCGGTTTCAGTATCATCCGCTGCATAAAGCACAGGCTTTACTTCTACAGAAGCTCTACAATACCACAACAGAGAGAATATATATTAAGCCACAAATTAAAAATAAAAAGAAAAAAAAAAGAAAAAAAAAAAAGAAGGTGCACAAAATAAAAGAACGAAGGAGTACATTTTTTCTGGATTTTTTTTTTTTTTTTTCTTTTTAAATTTTTTTGTCATGTATACTGGTATTGAGCAGATGACATGTATCTTACGTTCACCATAAAGATGAAAACACAAAGGCATAAATAAAGGTGCACAAAATAGAAATAAAGCGGAGAAAGGTTTCATTCTGATGGCTGACATATAGTAGCAGTACACCCTAAACAAGTTGGACTGGTTACCTCTTTGGCAAATCAGGCACAAGGACATATAAAACAATAGAATCAATCACTTCAGTCTTGTTTTCACCACATAAATTTAGTAACTTCATTTGTTTCAGGAATGTGTCCAGCTTGTCCTGAATAGTGATTCTGTCTGAAGAAGGAATATATGCCGAACAGTAAATGGTGAAGAGAATGGCAGAGGTAGATATTGAACAGTGAAAGCATTTTGCCACAGCTTCACTGTTTTGTAGTGCTAGTTCAAGCTCAGCAGTAGGACCTCCACTACAGAGCAACATTGTTGGAGGGTCAAGCCCCAACTGCCCAGCCATGTGAAGTACCTCCCGGTGCAAAGTTGCCTGGAAGGAAACAAAATGAGAAATAGTGGGATCACTGAATATGAATGATTAACAATTTAAATAATATGCATACACAAATATAAGGTATAAGTAACTTTAAAGTGTTCAACACTAACACATAGGTTCATATCAAAATTTCATCTGACAACATGGAGCAGCTGCAGCACTCTTTTTAAAATTGTTATAAACATGACCAGCCCTCGTAATCCTCAAATCTGACAAGTTTCAGCAAGAAAAACCCTCCTTTTGAAAGAAGAATACATTCATGCTTATTTATCTCACCTAATTTTGGAAGGAGTTACTAGACAAATCCTTGAGCTCTTTGACCTATATATGTTTATTTTTATTCCAATTAAACAACTAATGTACAAATCAACTTATTTTCCAAACTACGGTAAAGCGCATTTTCAAATCACGTTTTCATGAAAAACACACTTTTAAGCTCTTATGCCTTAATGATATAATAAATGACTGAATGAAATAACACTAAAAAAAGGCATTTAAGCATGTTTTCTAACTGTGCTTTTAGATAGTTTAAGCATTAATTATAAGTATGTTTATGATACACACTTTTAGAATAGAAGAGTGTTTATTAACGGCCGTGAGAGATGGCTGTTGTGCTCCAGACCAGCAAGGAGAATACCATGTTGTGAAGGAAAACAACCCTAGTCCTGCTAAAAAAGACAGGTACATTGAGCTTAGATGCTTCAGAATCCTTGAGCAAACACAAAAATGAATCTAGATTATTTTGAACCCAAGGAGGATGACCAAATCAAGGTAACTCAGTTCTTGTATTCAGGAAGATGACTAGAACTATTGCCTGGTAGGCTACTTTTGATAAGAAGATGTCCTTTGCTGTCAATTCTATAGCACAAAAGCTGCTGAGGAAGGGTGGTCCGACGGATGTCATGGCATTGTAAACTGGTTTTTTGTTGAGAGAGTCTGAAAAAAATCCTGATATGAGTTAAGTTCTTTAACTTCCCTTTTGACTACAGGAATGCACAAGGACTGAAGGCAAGTTTGGGAACTAGCTAAAATAGCTTAAAAGCTAAAAAGTCACTACCAAAAAATCAACTCTTCCCTCTACTTTTCTGCACGGTTTTTCATGAAAAGTCAAAAAGCCAACTAAAATAGCTAGTTCCAAAAACAACTCTGAGTTATACCGCAAGTATTATTGGCAAGCCTTTATAACGCCCTGACTGAGACGAAGAACAGGATTAGCTTTGCGAGAATTTGAATCAAAACTGATGTGGCCAATGAGCTCGTGGACAAGTTTGACCTGGATATGGGAGATGGGCATATGCAGAGATTAGAGCAGAGTACCAGTGGGTGCTCACCAGGTGTTTGACATGTGGTGTGATTGGGCATGATTGTGTTAAGACACCCAAACAGAAATGGAGGCCTTGCTCAGAAGCCTTGAGAAAGTGAAGCCTCTGGGGGGAAAAAAAGGAACACGAAGAGCAACAAATGGCACAAGGGAAATCATCAGACCAGGTGGCAGACAGCTACCAAATGGAGAGCATGATGCTGCAGACCTAGGGCAGGATCAACCTGTCTATACAATATAGGTAATGTCATCTACTGTTTGGGAATCTCAGGTGGCTTTGGAATCAATTAATGGTTTTGAGGGCCTAAAGGCAGAGGACTCAAACATTGAAACTCCCAGACTCCTCGACAAACTGCGTTTAAGGGGGTTGGTAGGGGAGGGTCTTTCTCTAGCAACCAAGGCAAGGAGTAGGAAGAAGATGAAGGCATCTGGCTCTAACGGGAAATCTCAGGGTGAACCCAGATATGGTATATATCTTTCCATTCTTTTTGTTAATGATTTTTTAAGTGCTAGAATGCAAGGGCTTAAATTGCCCTATACCCCAGAAGGAATGGAGCACATTCACAAATTTAATGTTTCTTTCTTTGGCCTCATGGACACCAGAGTCTGCAGTGTAAATAAAGATATGGTTTTCAATTCAATAAATAGAAACTGGGGCATGATTTCATTACAGTTGGTCTACTGTGAGTAGGATATGGGCGGTCTGGGACCAAAATGTGAGCTGCATTAGTATGAATAACCAAGTTATCTATTGTCATGTTTTTGACAAAGGGATATTACAGTGTAGTGTTTCTGTTATCTATGGAGATAATGCCCCTAAAAATAGATTGAGGCTGTGGAGGGATATTGAATTTCCGGCTGCACTCTTCCACCAAACTCCATGACTTCTGTGTGGGGATTTTAATCCTATAACATATATGCATGAAAGGAATGGCAGGTCTGTTAAATGGCCTAGGTTCATGGATGACTGCAATGATTGCTTTTTGAGGGCTGATCCTGATGATCTCAATTACTGTGGTATGCAATTCACTTGGACAAATGGCAAGGTGTTTTGGAAAATTGACAGAGCTCTTGTTAATGAGACTCCCCATGGCTGAGGCAAAATTCCTCCTGCCAGGTATCTCTGACCATAGATGTACTGTACAGATCATTTGAGTGATGCCCAAAAACAAATGCTGAGCAGAAACCTCTGAAAATATTCAAAATTTGTAATATGTCTCTAAGAGAGTTACGCTCCGTATGTTTCCACGTAAAATGTTTTCCTCAAAAATATTCTATGCATTTTCCATTGTTTGGTCAAACAAAAAGGAAGTAAAACATTTTTTAAGAAATATATTTTCCATCGTAGTCCTAAAAATGATTTACCAATGAAAATCCCGAAAGTTAATTTTGAGGAAGCTCTCAGCAAGCTCAACTCTTTGACCCTTTTAGTAGATTTTACCTTTTCAACCTCAAGCTAACAAACTTTTTAAAATGGTATAATGGAGACTAGAAGAATTTTGTTTTGTCAACCAAACGCCAAAAAAATAATATAAATATATATATACATATATATTTTTTCTTTGTGCAAAATTAGTTTACATGAAAAATATTTTTTGGTGTAAAATATTTTACGTCAAATCAAATGGAGCCTTAAGTGGGGTTAGCCGGATGGTGAAGGCTTTGGGCATGTGAGTGCTCCCTCCAATATCTCAAGTTCGAAACCTCCTAGGTGCAAACAACTTCTTGAGACCAATCCATATGGGGCTTTGCCCCTGGCTTTAAATGGGCACCCTGCTAGTAGACGGTGGGATTGGTCTCCCGGATTAGTTGGTCCATTGGGCCGGATACTGAATTATCAAAAAAAAAAAAAATGGACCCATAATTGAAAACATTAATGAAGGAATCTTTATTAAAAAATAAAAATAAAAAAAGCACTTCAGATATGCTAGAATTCACACAAACAAAAATGAAAGCAATGGAACAAGATGGAGCTGGACGAGGAATAACGTGATAGCCCACAAGTTGCAGAAATACAGTGTTGATGCATTGTTCCATTGTGGGGAGACAAAATCGAATTAATTAGAAGTAAAAGCTAGAAAAATAAATACCTGGCTATACGGTCCGATGCAACTAGGAGCCCAGCAGGAGATACTTTGTACATGCAAAACTCTTTTGCTTTGATCATTTGCCACCAGGACTTCAATATATGCCCTCCACAAAATAAAATGGACAATAATTTTTTAAATAGACCACAACGATAAATCTAGTAAAATTGTATCCATCAAAATAATTTCTGTATAGAACCTAATTTTATATGAAGATAAAATTGAGTCTTAATTATACTATCTCACAACACCCAAGTAGATTAACTTTGTTATATAAATCAACCTAATAATTATTTAATTCAAGATATTAACATCACATATCATATTGCAAAAGGATTTTTAAAGTTGTAAAACAAGTTAAATTCTCTTTTTTTGGTTGGGTTAGAATATTCACACACAAATCCACTCTATGTTTACTTATGCATACAAAAAAGGTACAAGTAATTTCATTCAGCATAGCAGAAAAGTGGTGTGTTGGGTTATTCTCACAACACAAGCGAGCCGTTTTTGTGTAACTGATACACCATGCCAAGTACCGCTAACACAAAATATTTTCTCTTCTATGCAGCCCTAGACCATACAATTAGACCTCAGTATTTCCTTTTAAGTACCTGCACTCAGATCAACAGTCATCAAGATTAATTTTCGTCAAAACTAGGACTAGGGGCTAAGGGAGTGTCAATTCTAGAACTCCTTGCTTAAGCTCTATATACACTAACACTCTTTAGAAAAGGAGACAATTGAAATTTCAAGTTATAGTTCATTTTTCTGTACAAATTTGGTAATAATCCCACAAACACAGTTAATCCTTACTCTATTAACAAAATTCCATCAATTTTGATCCCACTGGCATAACACAAAATCCAAAATTCAGGGAAGAGAGAGAGAGAGAGAGAGAACTCTCTTTTTGACAACTTATCCTCATTTGTATCTGCACAAATTCATGGTGGATTTCCAGTAAAACATTGACATTGGGGGGTTGGAGTGGTCGGTTTTAAAACGAAAGACCCCGAAAATTTATGCTGTATCTCTGTCTATCTACTACTTGAATATGCAAGGCAGCTAAATTACCAAACTCCTAAACTAAGTGAAAATATGCAATGCTAGATCATGAAAAAAATATCATGAAAATAATCATAAAAGATTCTCCACCTTTGGATTATACACACAATAAAACATCACACACTAATCAAAGGATGAAAAATTTTCATGATACATTTCATGATATTTTTTTCATGATCCCTAGTATTATTCAAAAAATATTGGCAAATCCATTAGTAGGGGGAAAATTTTTGATTCAAGACAAAAGCAAATTACCATCAAACAACCAAAGTAAGGTGGAAAAAAATTGAAAATGAAAATATGATGTGTGATTTCTGGCTTCTGTTAGACAAAATATAACACACATACCGATCTGCAGACTGGTTTCTCTTTAAATATTTTCCATTGCGGGCGGTTTCTAATTTTTGCATAAAAGCTAATGGGGAGAGAGCAGGGCTGAAGATGTTTTCCGGACGAATAATTCACATGTAATTAGGTCATCCATAGATGTTGCAGAACTCCCAGACCCTAGGAGAGGAACAAGGTTGAAAATTGGTTCCTCCTCCTCACTTATCTGAATTCTCTGAAACATTTCAACAAATTCATTGAATGCAGCCGTGAAAATCAGCGACAATGATTCATGAGACACTTGTAGACTTGTTGGGTAATAGAGCCTCAAATTCTACAAGAAGAGAGCGAGAGAGAGGGAAAAAAAATTAGAGATTAACATATTATATAAGCAAGTAAATGGCAAGACAAATAGTTGAGAAAAAAGTTCAATAAAAAAGTAAGCATGAAATATAAAGCTGGACCAGGGTTGAGAGATTTAATAATAACATCTTGAGCATCACACTATCATTGACTACTTGTTGAGGAGATATCCATTGTTGAACAGAATACCAGAGTCTAGAGCTGCACATGGGCGGATCGGTTTGGGTCATCAACATTCAGGCTGGAAAAATATTAACCGATTTCGACTCAAACCCCCCTTTGAAACCATCCACTCATATTATTCGGTTTCCCGGTCGGGGTATCAGTTTGACATCGGATTGAAACTTAACTCAAAAGTGGCTGCGAATCTCAGATCGACTGTTTAACTTTCACGGCCTTTCATCATAGGTCTATCAATTTGGTAAACAAAATCTTAGAAAATTTTAAAAATCCAGTAATATAATATTTTACTTAGGGTTTTGGTTGAACTTTAATAGGATGTCTGTGAGGGGCTGCTCAAAGCCTCAAGTATTAGATCTAGTCACCAAAGATTTGAGCAATCTCTGGCAGCAAAGCTTCACCATTTCTCCGCTTTTTATTTGCCTTTTCAATTTGCAAAGAAACAGATGGGGGCATAGGGTTTGTAAAGTGTGAAGATGAACTAGTAAACCTAAAACCAGAACTGGAGCCTACTGGTAATGGGCTAGGGATTGAGAATCGCTTAGTGGAGAGGGAGTAGTGATCTAACCAATATGTGAGACAGTGTAATCTGGGGGTCGAATGGAAGCATGACACATGTAAAGATACATATAATTTAGTATAATACTTGGTCGGTTCAGGTTGTTTGGTTGTGTGTTGTCAATCTGAACTCCAACTGATAATCCAAATTAGTAAACTATTTATTTGGAACTGCAACCAACCGCTGCATTGTGCGAAACCATCCATTATGATGTTTAGTGCGCCAGGTTCGGTCGAGTTCACCGGGTGATCGGTTCTATGCACAGCCCTACCAGAAACCAAAGCAATGAGCTGACAACTGAGAAATACCAATCGTCCCAAGTCGTCCAAAAGACATTAAACAAATAATAAATAAATAAAATCTAATTCCATGTATTTATTTCAAGATGCCTTTTTCTCTTGGTAAATGCCACACTTCATCCACATTAAGCTTTTGTTCCCTAGCTGTCTCTTTTCCATTTCTTTTTCTATTACACAAAATGCTTAATTCATTATTAAAACCGAAAGTTATGAAAACAAAAAAGAGGGGAAAAATGAAGTACAAATGACATCTCATCAAAAAGAGAAGGCTTCAGAAGGCATCCAAAAAAAAAATCTAATCATGTAAGGGCCTAGTATCAATCATGCTAAGTACTGGACAAGTTGAGGCTGCCCCACATGACTACAGAACACAACCTGGGAGCCAGCCAAATCAGATTATCTTTTTTGGCAGACATTCTCAACAATCTTATAACTCAACTGGGCCAATTGCAAATTACAGGTTTGATACTCAAAAAATCGCATATTCTTCTAAGATAATTTGGAGAAAAATGTCGGGTTATTTTGCCACTTTTGCGTAGGTGATGAATACAAGAATTGAAGAGAGAAACCACATAAAGAACCAAGTGTTTGACATTAAAGGTATAGAAATGTTCAAATGACGAGGCTAACAAACACGACAGGCATTATCATTAATCTTGCTTAAAACTTCACAAGGACCCACTTTCCAATCATCTATGTTACATGAACTCCTCTATGTCCCCAAAAGTATCATGTCCATTGGACATGACAAGGATATAAGGGTGTGGAATATGTGTCTGACACCCATACCCAATTTAGACACTTGGATCCTCCAACTTTTTACAATATTTGAAGAATAAGAATCTCACATTTGCTAGAAAAGAAACATTTATAACTTCTAACATAGATGAGAGAAAATTTCCATACTTTTTTCCTAAATTTTCTTCAATTTCAAATACATTTCTATATACTTTACAACATTTTATGTAAGTATATTATATAATAGGTAATATATATGTGTCCATAAAGAGTCTCCATACCCATATCCTACTTTGGATACATATTCCAATATCTCAAGATCTAAGTTTATGAAGGTATGATGCTTAGACACCCACCCGTATCCAATCATACCCGAGTCCATGTAACATAGCTAATCGTTCAACTTCATATAAGAACCATGGGGCTGCCTTTCCTTGGTCAAAACTAAGATCTCCCTAATCGTTCAACTTCATAAAAGAACCATGGGGCTGCCTTTCCCTGGTCAAAACTACTCAAACAAAATCTCGCTCTTTGAAGACAACCTTCCATTTGTATAAGTCAGTTGCAGCTTTGTGCTTTTTGATTGGCACCGGAGCGTCCAAATCAAAGCCCAACTAATCCCCAGGGATGCACCGGCCCTCGGCAAAGTGTTTCCCGGAAGTGCACCACAGTTAATTCAAAGGTTATTCCCACAGTCCAATGGCCCCAAGGAATCGTTAACACTTGAGAGCTTTCAATCCCTGAACATTGGAGGGAGTAGACCCCCAAGACCCAAGGCCTTGCCACCAGGCCAACCCCTTGGGGATAGTTGCAACTTTGTACTTAGCATTGGATTACTCAATTTGGCATCAAAAGAGCCTCACACCATAGTGACTTGCCCTTATGTCCCCGCTTTACCTTTGCTTTTGAAGCTCTTCCCTCTCTTTTGGAGACATCCGAAAGACCAGTTTGCTTGGCAGCGCCAAACCAAGCACCAAATCAATAAAATGTTAGGTATCCTATATAGGAGGCAATTCGGGAGGAAGCAATTTTGGAATCACATCAGAGTATTGACCTAGAAGAGAGCTAACTACGGTATCTTCCTCAATGGCAACTGTATGTAATACCAGGACCAACACCAAAATAACCACAGATCTCTGCTCTTTTCCAAAAACCCTTAATGTTGGAAGACAACTTCGGTGTATCCTTTTCCTTCATGGAAATCAATGTAAAATGCCTTTCATCCTTTGAGAACAGTATAGGTGTTACACTTGCCATCATGCAAGGTTGTCAATCATATTGTCATAGATGCTAATTACGACATAACAAGCATCCATAAGCACCTCATCAAAGTACTTTCAAATGAAAAAAGATATCAAATATTGCTTAGTAATTTTGATCTCATTACCTTTCCTGAACCAAGAGGGAATCAATATGAGGATGATCTTCAACTTGCTAACTTTGCTAACCACTTCTTCAGAACTACATCCTTGCAACTACTATTATCAATGATCATACTGCAAATGTCGCCGCCAATGTTGCAAATGGTAAAGAAGATGTTGGTAGGTAACCAATCATCT